CCCCCTGGAGCCTTTCCGACTGGCCCAACAGCATATATTGAAGATCAGGTGTTGAGTAATATGTATGTAGTAAATGAACAAATAAAACCCTATTAAAAAACCAAGATCTTTGTTGTGTAACTGCTTGAGTAAGAAATCATAGGGCTGTAAAGTGACTTTTTGGTATAGTTTGTGAAAGTCTGAAATGAGATTTGGTTGGGGGGGTGTGTGGAATGTAAATATCCAAATTCCAAAACCTAATTTAGGCTAAAAAAATATGTATTCAGCATTTAGAAATTTTGATAGGTGCTTGAATACTTCTGTCAGTACACCCCACAAACATGGTAGTGTTCTTTTATTTTTCTTTTCACAACTTTTCTTTCATTCAAAGCTGGGCCAATACAAATACTGGGGAAACAGTGGAGTCCTACTGCCCTTATTTAATGCCTTACTTATCTAAGCTTAGTTGAGCAAGCATTCTTGCTTGGACCTTTCATGTGGTGTCTGATCATTTTCTTACCACTGTAGTGCAGTTCATTGAGCCAGCTTTCATCTCTGGCCTCCATATTATGAAGGGACTTCTGATTTCCCAGACGTTTTGTGTTACTAGACATTGCTGGGGGTGTGGAAAGTTAGGCAGTGGAGACGGTGCCAGCTAGCAATGCTTAACTGGTTCTCATTCCTTTTTCTATGATATCAAGTTCTCCATTCAGAAACTGTAGATTCAGTTTGCAAAATTTTCTCCCTTTAATCATGGCTAAAAGTTTGTCTCCTGGACAAAGTTTGAGCAGGGTTTTGTATGACGGTATAAATACCTTACTAGTTCTTGGGAAGATACTGGATGTTAAACAAAGATAGCGAGCTGTGTTGCATTTGCTACAGTGAAGATTTATTGCATTCTGTTTTGGTTCACAATAAAATAAATTGACAAAAGATTGGCAGAATCTTTTTAGCTGAGAAAAAAATGGCTTTTCATGTCCAAAATGGCTTTTCACATGCTGCTTGGTAATACTGCTTCAAAATTGCTATCTGCAAGTTATTCGAGGTGAAGTCAAAGTGTTTTCACTGGAAATCAGCCTTGCTGTCATGGGGTGGCTGCCAACCGAAGTGGGTGTAATGACCTCAGAGCTTTCTAACTGGTTTGCTTTTTTTAAAATTGATGATTAAGCAGATACTCTGTCTCAGTGATTTTAGTTGAGACTATGACTCCTGGCCTGCTGATAGCTGTGGGAGAAGCCTCTTGAGGCTTTCAAACAGTTATCATTAAACATTTTTATATTCAAAGCTCTTGTCATATTTATTAGATTGTGATCTCAGTTTTCCTGCATCTTGTGACGATGAAGTGTGCACGCACACTTGGGTGCCAGTTGTACTGGTTCTGTGTTCAGAAAGTGACCAAGCAGCACAAACTATCTGAAGTATTTGGACTGGTTAGAAATAATGTCTGCACTCCTAGTTGTGAGATGCTGCTTTGAACAAGACTAATTTTATGTTCAGTTTGTCAGTCTGCCATTGATTTGAAGAGTTTTTCAAAGAGCAGGCAGTTGCACAGATTGCAATTGCCTGGTGTAGTTGTAGTTGCCAGCTCATGATTCAAGACAGTATTTAGGAATTCAGCCTGCAAAAAGGGTCATATTTAGTTTGTTAGATTTTTCTGTATTTGGTGTCACTAGATAACCATTTTTACTTTCTGAGGTCATTTAAAGAGGTCATTGCTGTTTTCCAGGTATTTCTCAACGAGGTAATAATTACAATGTTGGTCGAGGGCGTGGAATGCAAAAGAAACTGAAGCGTAAAGATCGTGGAAGGGGACGAGGGGGCAATAAAGGATCTGATGGCTTCCATGAGGTGTGTGGAATTAAAGTTTTATTCCTAATGTAGTTATTTCAAATGACTGGATGCTTTAATTTATCAGAAGAGTATTTAAAAATATGTATATTTAAACTTGTTTCCCTTAGGAAGAACTAGCAGAAAGTAGTTTATGAGCTTTGGTTTTGAATGGTGCATAACTTCAATGTTAACTGTACCAGAAATATGGTGGTTTTCTACTACCTGTTCACCCCAGATTTTTCAACAAAGAAAATGGATGCCTTCACAGCTTTTTCCAGTTTCCATCTGAATCATGAAGAATTCTCCTTCTCTTTCCATAGCTGTGACTGTGGAAATGGAAATATATACGACTTTGGTTTTCATTTAGTAATTCTTTGCCCAGGAATTAGAGAAAACACAGTGTTCAGTATTGCCATGGTATTTGTAAGTTGTTACTCCAACCTTCATCTGAATGAAAAAAAAATATACAAAATTGGTGATTAATGGATCAAATTCATCCATGCCAAATTGTATTTAAGCCTGTATACTGCAACTGAAATGTTTTGTGGTTCTCCTCCCTTCTACACTGAAGAATGCACATGGCTGGCTGCTAGCTAATGTAGTAGTGTGTAATTCAGCCGTGTTAATTTTTCCCCGTTTGAGGAAACAACTTTCTGGGGCTCCTGGGTGGTCCCCATCAGATGTTCCTTTCCCTGCCTTGCTTGTGGTAGGGAAAAGAGCGGCTGTTTGGTCTGTCAGGATGATACGTCATTTGTAGGACTCCTTCCTGTTGCTGCAGAGCTTGTCTTGTCCTCCAGCACTGTCTCCCAAGCTGTGGGGATGGGTGGAGGTGAGGAAGCAGCTACAGGCAGGTCCCAGCAGGCAGAAAACAAAAAACTGGGCTGCTGGCTCCAGCAAAATAATGAATTCTGTGACACAGATGCTGAGCTGCATGGTGTGGTGGAGTAACCACCAAGACTTCCGAGCCACACAGCAATGTCCCTGGTATTCTTGGGGACACAGTGGGAGCATTTCAGCCTTCGTCGGGCTGTTGTGTCAAGGGCTTTGCGGTGTGGGATAGTTGCTGGTTGCAGTGCACCCAGAGAGATGGAGCATCATGTTTATGTGATATTTGCATTAACCTTGAAGAGGATTAAGTATCAGATTCACAGCTGCTTTGTCTGAAGCAGCTGAGATTTCTCTAGATTTAATGTATTCAGAGTAGGAAATGGATCTTGGCTGATCCAGAAGTGGCATTTCTAGCTTGAAGATAACTGCTTCTCAGTGTCATCAAAATCCACAAATCATTTTAATGTTAATGTTTTGTGACATTGCTTAATCTGCCAAGCAAAATGAGACCAGATGCTTGGCGTGCTGATGCTCTTGTGTGCTCATGATGCAGCGTGATGACTCCGGAGAACCACATTCCCGCTGAATTGTGCTGCTTCTCTGCTTTGCCTCATGCTATTAGCAAACAAATTTATTTTTCTTCTAAATGGAAGAAAAAGGAAGATAGATAATCTGGAGATGAAGGATTGGCAAAGTACATCCTTGTGGCTAAGGTGGTGATCTGGAAGCCTAGATGATTACTCAGCTCCTGGCTGTCTGTAGAGGTGCTCTTAATCAGGGTGCTCAGGAGCCAGCCCTGCTTCCCAGCATTGTCAAACAAAGTGTGGGATACTCTGTCTGTTCTTTGAAGTTACTTGTGTCTGTTGTATTTTATAAAGTTTCTGATTTGGTTGCATTTATAGAAAAGACACTGTATTAAAGTGGCTAAGAAAAAGTATGTGTATTTACCTTTACCATGAGCTGTGGGTATAATAATTTTAAGAACTTAAATCATGACATAGTTAATCGCATTTTGGGGTAGCTAGTGTACGAAGTACGCTGTATTTTTGCAAATGTGCTTAATAACTAATCATCAGGAAGATGTTCGTTTTTCTTACAGGACGGCAAGCCAATGAAGAAATGGGTTAATATGAGTCAGGAGTTCATAAATCAGCATACAGTGGAACACAAAGGCAAACAAATCTGTAAATATTTCCTTGAAGGGAGATGTATTAAGGTAATTATGTGCTGTGTCTGTTGGTTTGCTGCTTTGGTGTGAGGTAGGGGAGAAGATGCTCTGGGTTTTTTTACTTCAGCTGATACAAAGAAAACTTGAATGTTGAAATGCGGTGTTCTGATTTCTAATGTTCTGCATATTTATAGAGAAATGCTAACATACGTACTTGTGGAAAAATATCCCTTTCGTTTTTAATTATAACAAATTCTATTTAAATTATTGTGTTTGCTTATTAGTATATACAGTAAAAACATCTGTGATAGCACCACAAACTTATACTGACAATGTATCATATGTAAATATACATCACATCTTACCAGTATGGAATCTGTAAATAGGCAATGATTTCTGAATGTATTAGAATTTTTTTCTCTTTTATGTGCTACTGCTAATTTTGAAACACTGAAGGAGTTGCTTAATTATGCTAAATTATTTCTCTTTTTAAAGTAAATAGTGAGCATGTAGTAATAGTTCCCCTACCAAACAATCATCTTCCTTCAGCCAGCAAGTGGGAGGCAGCAGAAAGAAGAGAATGCTATTCAGAGCTGTCAGCTGTCAAGCAAAAGCCCTAGCAAGACAGTATCTTATTACATAAACAAACAAAAAAATGGCTCTTGCTTCATTTTGAAGCTTATGCTGCTGTGGAGCTGAATCCTCTGATGTCAGACTAGTTCAGTCAGTTAGAACACACACTTAAGAAAAACTGCGTGCTTCTTGAATAAGTGAGTGCGTCATTTATATTTGGTTACTCTGTGTATGTAGAGATAGAACATTTTCTGTTTCTTTTTCAAATGGTGAAAGTAAAGGTGAAAATTAGTATGTTTTTTCCCCAAACCAGAGGGGAATTGAAACTAATGCATTTGTTGCTGCCTTTATGAATTTTAGTATGCTCTGTTCAGTAAGATGAGTATTTGCTGCCACCTTCAGTTTTAAAACAAGGAGCTGAAAGGGCACTTGTTTATTTTTCATGAAAATTAATACAAAAAATACGCAAAAAACCTCTCCAGCAAAGTAATCCTTATGTATAACATGATATGGTTGATATAAACTTGATATTATTTGGACTCTATTTTCCCTATATGGAAGAGTCTTAATACTTGCTTGTTGGACTTTTAAAAATTCTCCTGCATACCCTTTAAACAATCAGATTTTCTGATCAAGTGCATAATTGTTTATATGGAAAATAAGTTCGGTAAAGTATGTGTTTAAATGTGTTTAAATGTTTTTCTTTAAATATAGAATGTAATTATTCAGCATTTCAGATTGATATGGGTTTGTTTTGTTTTTTTATTTATAGGGAGAACAGTGTAAATTTGATCATGATGCAGAGATTGAAAAGAAAAAGGAAATCTGCAAGTTCTACATACAGGGTTACTGCACCAAAGGAGAGAACTGCATTTATTTGCACAATATCCTTTAAAAAAAGGAACTTGAATTAAACTGGAAATTTATGTTTACACTTAACTGATATAAGGGATTTTTTAAAGGTAGCTATGTCTTCACTTAAGACACCATACCAAAGTCTATGTAGATTTACTACAAGAAGATTATTCTGCTGCTCAAATACTCTGGAGGAGAGAATATGTATAAAATTACTGGTTTGTTTGCGTTTTTTAAGGATTTTTAATATTTAAAAAGATAAACCGCCTTGAATTAGATGCATTTGTCCACATACTTTTAAAACCCTGATATGTTCTTGTTTGTTGTAAAGGACTTGTGTTTTATTCTGGAACTGAGACCTTCATCTTTTTAATCACAATTTTAGAATCAAGTCAAAAATAACATTCAGGCAGCAGTAATTAGTAATTATTAGTAGAAAGTTAAATGGAACTAGGAGCTAAGTTGGTTATTAGCTTTCAAAATTCAAGATATTGCTTTGGAAACATTAAGTATTGGTGAAGAATTAAAGGATAGTTGCCAGCTGAATTTCATAAACTTGCTGAACAGTACAAACTGCAAATCGAGCTTTGTTGGGAATCCTTAATACATTGCTTACATGAATTCCCTTGCAAGTTCTACCACACAGGAGCAAAATGCTATCAAGGAGATAAGTGCAAATTTTCTCATGCTCCTCTGACTGCAGAAACAAAAGAGCTGTTGGACAAGGTGAGCAATTCATAGTCTGTAAACACAAAGTTTGTTGCTGAGTAGGGGGGAGGTTGCTGGAAATTTCCGTGGGGTTCTTGAGGAGTGTGATGCTGAACACTAATGGTGTTATTCTTCCCTGTTGCTCTTCAGCACAGTAAGTCTGTGACAAGGTTCAATACCAGGAATTCCACTTGCCATCAGTTATTCAGTTTTTTTTCAGTCCTGTCAGACTAATTTATTTTCACAACTCATGTTTCTGCTTCTGAACTTTTTTTTGCATCCCTTGCTATGGAAATCTTCACATACTCTGTAACAATTAGTGTGGCTTTCATGTTGTCTATGTTTAGCTGTCTGGAAGTTAGATATCATCTGACTGACTTCAGCACTCAGGGTGGAGAAAGGAATGAGTTGTCTCTGAATGATTCATGAAATCCTGACCTTTGTTTTAATTAGGCTATTTGTGTCTCTCTCCCGTTACTGTACAACAGGCCTTAGCAGGACAGTGACGTGAATTTAACACTAGAAACTTTATGAATCTTAGACTAAGTCCTTCAAATTCTGTCATTTAAAATTACTGTTTGAAGGAAATGGATTTGTGTGAAGCCGTCCCTTCCTGACTACAGAAGTAGTTGTCTTCCTGACTGTGAATCGGTGTCCTGCAAAACAAGTAATCATAGATTGACAGTTCCTCTAAGTTTGATGTCAATATATAGCAGTGTTGTAGCAGGTAATTCTATTTAAATGGAAAGTGCAAGACTAAATTGAATTGTGTGTTCTGCAAAATGAATGAAGCGTTTGCTACACTGCTTTGTTCTAGGTTTTGAATAACGAGGAGGAACCACAAAATGAAGATGAGAAAGAACTGGAGGAGCTCAGAAAGCGTGGCATAGTTCCTCTCCCTAAGCCACCACCAGGTGTGGGACTTCTGCCAACCCCACCAGAGCAATATCCGTTTTCTGAGTCTGACATAGAAAATTATCAAGATCCTTCAGGAGACTATAAGAAAATCCCATCTCTTTTTGAAATAGTTGTGAAGCCTACTGTGGATTTAGCACACAAAATTGGAAAAAAGTACGTTTCAGAATTTTGTATACAACTCTCCTTAGAATGCGGCTGCATAAATATTTAAACAATGCTCTTTTTTTCTGTCATAAGTATATACCTCTGAGTGTACTGCTAAGCTAATGATCTGTCAAATATTGGCTATCATAATTATTGACTTATTAAATGCTTTCCATAGAAGGGAACTTACTGAGCCTTGACATTTCAGAAAGTCACTCCATTGGCACTTGTTTTGGCTCTGTGCCCGCCTTGCCTGTCTCCATTTGCAGGTTGAGCAAAGTCCATCCTCTTCTAAAATCCTTTTATAGTTTGCTTTTTCTTGACCGAAGCCAATGGATGCTCTTGGTGGAGGCTGTTGGCCTTGGGATATTTAATACTCTTGTTGCAGGAAATGTCCAGTTCTGCGTGTGGCAGTATTGGAAAAATGTTCTACTTTCAGCCAAGCTCTGTCATGTGTTACGATATATATGTAATGTATATAGTCACTGTCTTTGAAAATTATTTTGTTTCTTTCAGATTTTTATCGAACTTAGGATCAAATAAGTATGAACAGGCATCTGTTAAGAGTGAGGAGGGGGAGGAGGCAGCTAACAGCCTGTCGATCTTTGTAGGTGCAAAATTTGATTGACTAATTTTCTTTTGCCTCCAGGCCACCGACCTTCTATAACAGTGGATCACCACCAAGACCACCGTTTCAGGGAAATGACCCACATTCTCAGCATATGTATAATCCAGGTTCAAGTCCAGGGCCGGGACCGGGCATGTCACAAGGACATAATGGGCCACCAATGCACCCAGGTTCTCCTGGACATCATCCGTGTGGAGGGCCTCAAGGCCCAGGCATGCCGCAGAGTCCTCCCATTCAGGGTGTTCCACCAGGCTTTCTCGGACCGCAGAACCAGAGTGGTATGCCTATGCAAGGACAGCAAGGTGGTCCACCTCTCACCCCACCAGGTCTTGGTGGGTCTTACAATGCCCCAGGAGTTCAAGGACATATGGTGAATATGCCGAGAGAGAATCACTGTCCTCCGGGGCCACAGTACCAGCAGATGCCTGGTGAACGACAGCCCAACATGAATTACGAGCCTATTCAGAACCCAGCTGATTTTTATGACAATTACTATTCTCATCAAGCCGTGCATAACTTCCAGCCAGCTAATAACTCTGGTGGTAAGGACATTTACAATTTGTTGTTCCTTGATGAGGTGCTTAGCAGTTGTGTGGTATTTAAACATCACGGCTTCAAAGCTGAGCAGCTGCAAGAAAGAGCCAAACCTCCTGGAATATCTTCAGCTTTTTCAGCAGACATTTTCCAGTCATGTAATATAAGTCACATTAGTCTTGCTTTATTGCATTTTATGTTTTCTCTCCTCTGCTGTAAAAGCTTGTATAGGATGGCTTCTAACAGTTTGGTTTTTGGTTTTTTTTGTACTGCAGATGGAACATGGCATGGAGAATTCACAGATCACCAGGCTCACCTCATGGCTCAAGAGTCGCATCAAGGTGGAAGCGAGTCGGACTGCATGAGTAGCCATATGGGCCATAAACCAGCCATTAACGTACCAGATTTTCTTCCAGCAATGCAGAAGGCCCTTTATGTAAGACTTAGTCAAAAGCATCAAAGAGATGGAGACTCTGTCAGCAGCCAGGGTCAGAGGGTGATGAGCAAAGACGAAGGTAAAGATAATTTTGTTAAGAGTTCTAAACACACTTACTGATCATGTATTAGCCTGGAACAAGCCTGGTGCACGAATTACTGTGAATGTGCAATTGCCAACTCAAATAATATTCTCAGCTGAATATACATTCCAGTTCGAAGTAGAAAGAACCGTGGATAATTTTAAAATATAGTTTGTACTTTTAAAAGGCTCTGTTGTTGATAGCTCAATTGCTTATTAAAATCCCTGATTGAAACAGAAAGGTTATTATTTCTAACTGCCAGTACTGCAAGTGCATCTTAGATTCTGTTTATTCAGTTGTGCCTCTTAATCTTTTTTTGCATATGCTGTTTCTCTAGAGCAGTGTTTTTCCCTCTGTGATATCTGAAATTTGCAGTGTTTAATCTAAGCGTCTCTTCTGTAACCTGGACAAGCAATAGGCCTGCAGATCAGATTCAGCCACGCAGATATGTTTGCCCCTTGGCCTGCTCCCTGCTGCACCCCACAATGCATTTTCATCAAGACAGATTTTAAATGTTCCTTTTTTTCCATAGTACTGATAGAAGTAATTCTTTGTCAGTGGGTTATTTTCCCAAGTCAGCTGACAGAGAGGTATATGGAGAGAATGCGGCAGAATTTGGGAGTATCTCAACTAGCTCTATTTTTTTATTATGTCAGTTCTTCATTTAAATTGATTTTTGTCATTTTATATTATGGTTGTTATAATACAGGGAGTGATGACTCAATATCAGGCCTTTTCAGTTTGATTTTACTGAGAAGTTACCCTTTATATGAGTAATTGTGTTTTATTCCCTGGTGATCATTTGCTTGAATATTTTTATTTTTATTTCCTAAGATGACAATGTCAACTGGTATTCCAGTAGTGAAGAGGAAGAGGGGAGCAGTGTTAAATCAATACTAAAAACCTTAAAGAAGCAAAGTGAAAATTTTAGGAATCGGCAGCAACATTCCACAGAGCAGCACGTGCTTGGTATTCCTACTGATCCGAGGCTGGCAAAAGAAAAAGGTGTGGGGCCTCAGGCTGCTGACCCAAGACTTCGGGCCTCTCCGAGGTCCAACCCCAGAAAGCCTGAATCCGCATCCATGGACCCACGGCTGCGAGATCCCAGGATGCACAAGGTCAGCGAGGGCAGCCACGCCAGCTCATCCCTTGGGGGAGCAAAGGTAGATGTACACCACACGCACACAGGAGTTAAAGTCAAGCAAAAAGGGATGGACGATGACGAAGAGGACTCGGAAAGAGAACTGAGAGAAAGAGCTTTTCTGATACCTTTGGAACCTTTGCCTGGTGTAACGCTAAGGGATCCCCGATCTCAGCTGAGGCAGTTCAGCCATATTAAAATGGATGTCACCCTGATGAAACCAAACTTTGCCAAGCATATTGTGTGGGCGCCTGAAGACTTGCTCCCAATACCTTTGCCTAAGCCCGACCCCGTCTCTTCAATCAATTTACCTCTTCCTCCACTCATTGCTGATCAGAGACTTAATAAACTGCGGAATTTGAAAAACGATCCCCACCCAAACGCGATGCCAGCTGACCCACGACTCGCTGCAAAGGCAAAAAACAACTTAACAGGCAGGAGCGGCTATTTGGATCCTTCTGCAGAGTCGCATGCCAGTAGCTCAAGCAAATTAGGAGATCCTCGCTTACAAAAAAATGTCGATCCCAGACTCCACAGACTGTCAAGTGCAGATACGCATCATGGAGTTGCGAAGGATTCACACCCTCCGAAGTTTGACCCCCGCCTTGCCAGGTCTGCCGCTGGCTCATCGCAGCCCTCAGAAACTGCAACTACTAAACCTGACCCAGATGCTCTGCCTCCGTACGCCCCCAAATTATCATCGAGTGGTGTTAAGCTGGGAAGTCCAGGCTTGATACTGAGCGGTATTAGTTTGTACGATCCAAGAGATCACAGCTCGTCATCGGACACGACTCCCGCGAGTTCGGGAGAGAACGGAGAGAACCAGAAAAAAAGTATTTTGAAAAATTCTGGTAAAAATGAACCTGGTCTCTCAGAGGATTCATCGCTACAGAAGGCTGCCTCAAATGTGGAAAAAAATACAGAAGGATCAGCAGAAGCTACTTCAGATAAAGCAAATAGCACCAGTAAATCTCAGGCTAAACACTCCAGCACTGCACCTGCGGTGCATAATCTTCCTATCCAAGCTTTATCGGGATTAATCAGACCGCAGTACAGCGACCCGAGGCAGGTTAGACAGCCAGGACAGGTAACTCAGACACAGGAGAGCGATCCGAATGGGGAGTCGGATGATAAGTCCTTAAAAGATGTTTTCAAGACTTTTGATCCAACTGCTTCACCATTTTGTTAGCAATTGATTTTAAGTCTTTTTACTGTTGTGAATATTGCAGTTTTCTGCTGTTTTGTAACTGGTTTACCTCTTTGCTTTTATTTATTTTTAAATTATAATTATCAACACTTTTCAGCTGCTAATCTCAGAACCACATGCAGTTATACAGTATGCTATAGTGTTTGCAAAGCTGTGGTATTTTCTATATAATACTTTTCCAATTTCAGGGAGACTAATAATTGACATGTAGGAAAAAAATCCCAATCATGTATCGTATTAGAGCTGATAAAAGCACTTTCATTGTAAATAAGTCATTAAGAAAGTCCGAAGCCCTGTATATGTGTGAGCTGTCCCTTTCATAAATGACATTTAGATATGATTGCCACATTTGTATGATTGTATAGATACAAGCAATAGTATGTACATTACTGTGAGAGACGCTGTTTGACAAGGATTGTCTGATGCATCAAGCCAAACTTACTAACTGATTTAAAACTGATGGAAATGATTTAAAAGGAAAATGTTGATCCTCCTTTTCAGATCAGTTGATGTAAGACGTTGACAGTTTTTATTCATGCAGTCAATATTCTTAGTGTAAAAGAGACCTATATCACATATTGAGGATTAAAAATGTCATATCTTTTAAAAGTATTTTATTCTATGCTGTATATAGAAGAAATTGTGAAGTACATAACTAGAAGAAAGTTACTGTTAAAAGTGGAGAATACCGAAGTTGTCTAATACAGAAAAAGGTTTTTATTTAATTTTTTCACGCATACACAACTCTGATTAGTGCTATAAGTTACATTGTGGTGTTCATGTATTTCAATGTATTTTTGTATTCAGCCGCTTAATTTGTATTGCTTTTTTTGTATTGATGTAACTGCAGTACTTGTATTCATGGTGTCTTTATGACATTTTTAACAAAAAAATTAAAAAGGGTACAGTTAAAGTCTGGTAACGACTGTGATGTTGACCTATTGGCAGCCAGTTCAGTGCTGGGGAGAGTAGTGGGGGTGTTTGAAGGATGAAGGTGATGAAACCTGGTTCCAGTACAGTTGCTACACTGTGTTACTATCAGTGGTGGGTTTTTAAACTAACCTTGTACTGAATCCCAATGGAGTTTGCTTCCTGCATGGTTCCAAGCTCAGACTGCCGACTTGGAGAGAGCTGTCATTGTTCTCTTACTACAGTTACCAGCATCGCTATGAGAAATGTCATGCATGCTCTTTAATTTCTGAAGATGTTGCATGCCGGCACAACTGTCCGCAAAACCCCTCTTGTTTTCCCTTTTGGAATGCTTTTTATATAGAGGAAATGTAGTCATACCAAGCTAGCTACATTTACAATAAAAATTTGCCGTCTGCTCAATTGCCATCTGGTTCCCGCCCACTTGGAATGTTTCTTTGCATTAAGTCCTTGCTGTGGTGGACCCTTTCCTCTTAGTTTCTGTTTGTTGGCCCAAGGAATGCTTACGACTGGGACAGTATAATGTTTATCACATTTTCTGTGGGTTTGGTTTCTTGCGCCTGTGCCACAAGCGGTAATCCTGGCAAAGATTGCAAGTGTCTTGCATTGATGAGCAGAGCTTGGATGAATGGAGGGAAGCTGTTGACTTCTGTGAGTGCAAAACATGGCAGAGGAGACATTGCTGGAGGCAGCAATGGTTTCAATTTGCCTTCCTGTTTCCCCAGAGTGTAAATTGTATTGATTTTTTTGATGCTTTGAATTGCACTCACTCAAAATAATTGAAAACTAGATAACAGACATGAAACTTGGTTGTTATTTTGGAGTAATCTATTAGTTCTACATAATTACTTATTACTTCTACATTTGATGACAAGTGTGGCTGTTCAAGAATTTAATCAAAAAGTGAAGCCAGCAGGGGGAAAATGGAATTAGTTTGGAAACAGCACATGAGTTGATGGGGGAACAAAGAGAAAAAGTGACGGTACTGAAGCCAAATGTGTGGTTTCACATATAGATGTGGAAAGTACTTGCAGGATGCGCAGCTCTAACCTGGAGTTATGACTTCTTGTAGGGCGGTGATGATGGCCTCATCAAATTGGATTCTCTGTGTTTTTTTGAAAGTACTGGAAAAATAATGGTAAAAGGAAAAGCTTTGATACTGCGGGCAAAGTGACACGCCTTACAATTGAGATGATGGGAAGATCTCAGGTGGTTTGCCATCCGTCTGGTTATAGGCCTATTTTGGAGCTGCAGCGTGTGTTCTGCTAGGGGGACAGAGTGCTGGCTTCTAACCTTGGAGATCTGCTGCCATTTCAGTATCTTTAATACAATGAAGGTCTTTATTTTGGGGAAAAAGTGTACAAAGTAAGGAGGAAGCATAATTTGGAAGGGCTCAGCTCGTCTCTGCAGCCTGTTGTCTCCATGTGTAACCGCCTCCTCCCTTCCTTCTTCCCAGATCCAGCTGGTCCTCGTGGGCCTCCCCAGCGATGCCGCAAGGGCCTGTGGGCGGCTGCTCAACTCCTCTGTCCACCTCTGCTCGCTGGTTTATTTGTTGGAGTAGGCTGCTACTGCTCACTCAGGACATGCAGAGGAGTTTCACCACTACGGTGCAAGCACTAAACTGTCCGATATGGGTAAGGTGCTGGGAGTATCGGTGGGGGCAGGTGGGGACAGTCTTGCCACACTGAGGTGGGCTGCAGCCACCAAGCAAGCCAAGTCTGATCTGCCACGTGGACTGTTTGTGTCTTTCACAGAGGACGATCATTTCCATCTCTTCCACACGTGCAGTATTGTGGCAGAAAGCAGAGTTTCCCTCAGATGCTTGTAACTCCTGCTCCTGAGGCTGTGAAGCATGGGTGTGCAGAGCAGTAATGGAAGCATCTGGTATCGGTGGTTCTGGATATTCACAAAGGCTGTAGCTGTGAGGTGGGTGATCTTGAGCATTGAATGTTTTACTCTGGGTAAAAGAGAGTCTTGGAGCTGAGAGAGATACTGGGAGAAGTGTCATTGCTCTGCAGGGGAGAGAAAATGCTCCCCACTCCTGCTGGCCCTGGAGATGTGAGAGAGTAAAATGTTGGTCTCTGATCCGGTCTGCTCTTTACACCACAGTAAGAGTGAGCATTGCGAGATCACCACCTGGTGTTTGCAGCCCCACAATTAAAATATTCGTAGGGAGATTTGTAGTCTCCCTAGGTAGCCTGGTCTAGTATTTTTCTACCACGATGAAAAGACTAATATGATATGATATGAATCCTTCCTACTGCAAACAAAAATAATTTATTATTGCAAAGTAGACAGTACTTAATTATGCTCCTATTTTGTATTTCAGTGATCCTATCCCTTAGTCTTCCTTCTCATTCACTCCTTTCCTCCAGCTTTTGTAGTACGTTACTCTCTGAATTTGTATTTTGCATATGCGTTCCACCCTGTGCACTGGTTTTTCTGCAGGCTTATATATCTCCAGCTGCCCTTCCTGTGCAGCATTTAGGATTGCTACTTCTAGAGGAAAAAAAAAAGCATATGGTTGCAGAAAAGCTGGATAGCATGCTAAAGATCAGGGCCCGAGAAAAACCTTCCTGCTCCGAGTCTTTCTTCTGCAGGAGATGAGCGATTCAATCATTTATGGAATCTGCTGATCCTTTTTTCCAGCCAGATTTGCTTGTGCTGCTACAAGTGCATTCCTACATCCTTCTGTTCACGTTTTGGGTGCTGAAGAACTGGCAGTTACTGAAAGTACTATAATGAAGGTACCTCATCAGATACCATCTTCCCTCTATCAGTGTTTGTCAAAGAAAAGCCAAAAGCCTGACTGATTACCTTAGAGCCAGAGCTGGTTTGCAGCTGGACAGGGGCATGCAGTATGTGAATGTAAAGAATCGTAGCCCCACATGATTGCCACTGATTCAAGAGTAATGGTTTCAGAGTGACTTCAAGTGATAAAAGATCAGTGAATTATATTGTACTGACCAGGAAGCCCTCTGTTTTCCCTTCTCATGGGATAAAGCTCTTCCCCAGCTCCTGTGTCCTCTGTGGTTTGGTGTCACGTCTTACCACTCGACTTCAAACGCCATCTGGACAAGAGGTCTCTTAGGAAGTACAATAGCGCGTGGCATCGTTTTATTCTTCTCTCTGTTCTGTGGCCAAAAGGAAGCGGGTATCTCTGCAGGGCAGAATTTGCCCCAGGAGAAGTGTCCAGCATACAAAAGCCTTTTCCGGCCTTGCACTTTCAGTCCTCCTGCAAGAGCAGATCTAGCAGAAGTGAGGTGAGCCAGGAAGATTGCAGGACGGGCCACGTGCTTTCTGCTGAGACCAGTGAGCGATGCAGTTCCCCTTCCATTTTTACGGGTGGCTGTCCATAACTGTGTGCCCTTTAATAGGTTTGTGGATGCCTTTGGGTATTTTTGGCCTGATGTGATTGTTCTTGCACCATAGCTGTCAGGGTGGGTTCAGCCCTTGCCTGAGTCTTGCGGAGCCCCAATTCATCCCTCTCTGAGTTTGAAGACTCCTTGGCCCTATGCCACAGCAGGTTTTTTCTCCACTGCAAGCAAAAAGCAGCTATTTCTGCTTCTTCAGAGTCAGGCGGGGACTGTCGCAAACCCTGTTAGGAGGAGACAGAATATTTGCTTGCTTTAATATATTGTTGTACATGAACTAGGTTAAAATATCTTGAGCGATATAAAAGTCTGAAATTATCAATGTGTATGTGATCAGTGTGACGCCTCTACCCATTCATGCTTAAAAAGTGCTTGAAAGTGCTTAAAAACCTGCTTACAGAGAGAGACAAAAGGAATACAATATAGATGGTTTATTGATAAGCAGAGAAGTTTCTAAAGGGATGAAGCCAGGTCATAAAGGACTTTGTCATCTAGACAGTCAAAATAAAAGAAGGGCTAGTTACTTTAGGCTGACATCAGCAAAGTATAAAATGGACAGATGTGGCATGTTTTTAACATTATGGGCAGTTAACCACAGAGTGGTATTTTTCATGCTTGTGGCTGATTCTCCATCAAACAGGATTCAAATCAAAACTGTCTCTTTCAAAAAGATGTGCTCAGCGAAAGTTGTAGGATTATGTAGGAAGCTAAGGCAAACGATGAAAAACCGCATCAGTGGAGAGTCTGGTTGTATTTGCAAGTGTTTTCTAAGTGCTTGCAGATAAAGTCTACTCTCACAAACTATTTACAGTTGGATCAATCAGCCATCGTTTGCAGCTGCAAGGGAAGCTCTTGAGAGTTTTGATCAAAGCTCATCTTGAGACAACAAAAAGGCTGAGACTGACACGGACTATTTCCAAATAAAGGCCTCCAGCAAGATGCTGCTGCTCTCCTATCCAAAAAATGAAATGGGAAACGGACTAGCTAAAGGTGACTTCAGAGTTGGTAGCAGTGACAGAGCAAATTCAATGCCTGGAAAGATGTGTAGTGGGCTTTGGTAATGAGAAAGAAAGGCATAACATAAAAACATTGCAGTAAGAATGTTTATTCCCAGCTAGAGTTGACAGAGGTCACACTTGGCTGTAGGAGCTCCTCACAGCATGGAGTCACTTTACAAACCCTATTTGATGCCATCAGTGTTCACTTACTTTGATACACGCTGCCTCGGCTGCCTTCAGAACATGCAAAACTGCGTGCATTAGGTTCTGTGCGTTGCTCACAAGCAGCTCGGAAGAGGACTTGCTCTCTGTGGTGACTGCTTTTACCCTTAAAAGACATGTTAAAAGATGAAGAAGAGCATCAGACAGTGTGCCTCCTCAGTACTCCACTCCTCTGCACTCTGATGGCGTACTCCACAATCAGAAGATTGTCCCCTGCACTATCAGAGCAGGGTTCCACAGAGGCAGGCAAACCAGGGGAGGAATGGGCTGTTCACAGCAACAGGAAGAGGAAAGGGAGCCACTTGAATTGTAACTTAACTCTAAGGGCTACAACCAGATCTCGCAAGAACCTCCGGAGACCACCATGCACACCTCTTTGAGAAGGGGGTCACCAGCCTTAGGAGAGATTGTTCTTGACCCCAGCAGCTCACCTGGCCACCATGCCAAGCTGGCTGCTGATGGTGTGGGTCTGCTCTGCAGCGCACAGCAGCTCTGCAGAGCATCTCTGGTTGAGGCAGTGCTTTGCGATGACACGGCCAAATTTAACAAACAACTCCCCGTCAGAAGCCATTTGCCTCGCATAGGCAACAAGCTGGTCCTTGCTCTAAAACAAAATAGAAAGAAATGTGTTTGGGGAGAGAAGGAGAGAAAAGACCACTTTTCCTACTAGACAGGGGAGGGTCCAGGAAGACCAGATACGTTCTGAAACAAGGAAAGGACTGAGCGCCAAGTTCATGTCTAATCAGGAGGAAGTAATTTCTGATGCTTTGCATAACTATAGCTGGTGCAACTCTTGGAGGAACCAGGTAAGGCAGGGG